CACAACTGGACGCTCTTTTCCTTTCTTTCTCTCTTTTCGTGTCTGCATGATCGTTTCACAAGTACAATATTATTAGAATGAAATGTAGTAGAAATAAATCAATGCAAGCATATTAAAATGTAAATACTTAATTATAAGAGGAAAAAGAGAGAAATAAATGAATACCTGGATTGTAAAATATTATAACTATTTTGAAGCCTTGTAAAGCTCTTATAAAGTATAATAATATCTAACAATATACAAAGTACTTTTAAAGCTTTACATTAGATTGTATATATTATAAAACTATATTACTCTTGTTAAAATACAAAGTTCTTTTAATATCTTTTCATTTTAGGAGGTTGGATATAAGTTCATTTACATATTGTCAATACTTATAAACCTTATTCATATTAACAATTTGTACATACCTTTTTGTATCTTATATAGCTTTTTATAATTTTCTCATTTTAAGAGGTTGGATATATGGTCTTTTATATTTTTTAGAAAATTTATATAATTTATATGTTTATAAGCTAATATAAGCCTTAAGACTTTTTCCTGATGATTCTTCAGCCTGAAATAGAAGAACTGTACCTATAATACAAGCATGTATTTTCGATAAACTGGTATCAAAAGCACTGATATAAATGCAGAGTAACTCACATCACTATCATCATCACCTATAGTGAGTTGTAATAGGGTCAGAAGCCCTTCTACGTCACTGCATAACTATTTTGTGTTAGTAACATTCAGATTATTAACAAACATACATACTATCATCCAGACTCGCTTGATACATTTCAGCTGGGCTTTAATAGACTCGATCTTCTTACAGCATTCTCCTGTTGCACTATCCAATTCTTTCCAGCACTTGTTGAGCTTTTTCAAGATTTCTTACATGTCTTGAAGTTTCTTGTTCAAATCCTCCTTCTCAAATTCTTTTGAAGAAATGAACTGCTAGTCACATTAGCCTCTGATTATAACAATAATAATTTCTCCTTACTGATGAGTCTAGATTATTATATAAGTTCTCTGCAGGCTGTTTGACACCAAGGATATAATATTGAAGTGACATCAGTGGGGCAGAAAATAGACCCCAAGAAACATTGGTAAGTCTTTGTGATTCAATCTGTCCTCTGCTTGTTAGTAGATGTCATAGTTCTTTTCATTCCATTGTACTCATAACATCTTACCTCAGAGTTAATTCTATACCATAATAAGTTCTATATAAAATGAACATTGGATGTTTGAATTAACTGTACCTATTCATCTGAGTTTTAAGGTCTTCAAATACTGTCTCCAAATTTTCTTTATGGTTTCCTGGGAGGTGCTTGAGCCTGATACCAAATGTTTGCACGTTTCTCCCAAGACTGTCAAGTTTTTTTGCAAAGGTGACAAGTGTTTCTCCGCCATCCCCAAAGATATTGCATAATTTCTTGTTGCAATCTGGTGTTACTGTCAAATAGTAATACAAAATAAGTTAACACCAACCTCTTTAAACTGCTCCAGCCTTTTTATCTTAGATTTAACAGGCTCATTATCCTGGGAAAGGAAATCGCAGTAGGTCTTCACAAAATCTGCTGAATATATCAGAATGAAAATCATACTGAAATTTACTTTGGATACTCGCTGCCAACGTAGTGCTCACCAGTTGTAGCAATACGATGCATTTCTAAGATAATGTTGTCGAATTCCTGTGACCATAGTTTAGTTTCCAAATTGTACTACATGCCATTTACATGCCTCAGAATAATTATTCCAATCAGTACAGCGCTTGGTGGCCTGTTCATTGTTTTCCCCAGGAAGCTTAATCTTTGTCTGTAGATACTCTTCTACCTCTCGAAAGCACGCGGATATGTGCTGAATGTCTTCGGGCATGTCTTGCAGATCTTGGATTGGAGGATCCGAGTAAAGGTTAGGATCGGGGGAAGACATTGTAGGGGCTTTGCTGTACGATAGTGAGGGCAAGAGGATAGGTTATGGAAGATGTTGAACGATACACAGTTTAGTTATTTTGTACCTTCTAGCATGCGGAGTTATTGCACATTGTGAAGGGCCTTTTTTTTGGCTAGCGCTCAGAGCTCCATGCTCTTGTATGAAGTTGGTCAGGCGGTCAATGTACACGGTTCTAATAAGAATGGCCACTAGTACCTTCCTTTGAATTGAGTAAAAGGTTAGCGCTGATACATGAGGCATCGAAGTACCCAGCAAAGGATACATTATACTTCTGATGGCTGTAAGCCACACATCACTTGCAGGGAAGTGTGAAATGTGGAGTACGAATCTAGCTGGGATGCGCCTTGATAGGATATTAAAAAGAAAGACGCTGGAAGAGAAGCGAGAGAAGCCAATATGAACGAGTGCCTCTCAAACCCTGTCTGAGTATGAAAGTCAGGCACCTTACATTACTGTCAGAAGGCAACTAACGTGCAGTAGGCGTAGACAAAGGACACACTAAAGATCTGAATGCGAATATTATAACTTTTAGTCGATTGGAACGGCGCAAGTATCACTGTGATGGTGGTCTACACGGTCCATCTTTAACGAATTTATCTTTGCCTTTGTGGTATTACTGGCCTGATACAACATAGTATCAACAGTCCTTGTTAATGAAAGAAGAAACGCTACTGTAATGGTCCCATGATACAACAATTGTTGACCAACAACATAATTAGATTTAGAAATTCACATAGCTCTGGCATATTGACTGAAAGCATAGTGAAGCTCTTGATAAATTGCAGTCGTATGAGTCAGGTAAATATCAAGATCCTAGTGTGATTAGTGAGAGATTAATAGATATCCTAGACATTAGAGAACAGACCATAATGTTGTTGACACTCTGCATTGGTTCAAATAAAGGCTTCAGAGAATTCAGGTCGACTGTCATCTGTTTTGCATGTTAAGAATGTGACATTGGCAATTTTGTTCAGTACAGAAATAGAAAGAAATACTTACTGCTGACCAAAAACGAGGGAAAACATCCAGAGTTAAATGAAGCAGTGGAAATTTCTCCTTAGATTGTGCCGTAATGCAGTGTGTCAACTCGGTGCTGTCATTCTTCCTGGAGCGACGTTTCAACTTTGAGTGCTCTCTCTTCATACCTAACAATAAACAGAATCATTGAATTTATTAGCTCGACTCAATGGTTACAGAACATAGGTATTTATGGAACGGATGGCATACGACGAAAGTCCTTAATTAGCTTGTAAGATTTTGATGCATCCTTATACATGCGTTTGAGAATCTGAATAACACCTTAGTTAAGATGAATAAAATATCAAGTTCGGACTTAGACCTACAGGCGGAGAGAAAGACATAACCTCTGGGACACTATGTGTCACAACTCCTGCAACAATCAGTATACAAACAGCTCCTGCATCTAGTGCAGTCCGAGCCAGAAGACGAATCAACTA